CTAGACAGAATCTAGTTCACCCATTGGCCCAGGTATGGAGGTGGTTTTCAGGGCTGGCCTGGCCCCTATAGGTGAGCTGTCCGCCAGCTGGAGGGGGCAGGCCGCCTGTGCTTAATTTGGAAGAGTAGGGAGGTGATGATGTCACTGGACACGTGGGCGAACTGCCTCTGCTGTTGCCATAGCAGCAGTAGCCTTTCTGGGGAGGTGAGCTCTGCAGCCCACTGCTTACAGAGGAAACAAGCTGGTCCAAGGTTCTAGGACTTTTATTCATCCATTCAGAGGGCAAGGGGTGGAGGGTGGGGCTCATTCAGGGTCAGCCCCATGGGGGGCTGGAAGCCAAAAACAGGCCTACCCTTGAGATGCTCCTGGGCTTTGGTGTTGGGCAGACCTGGATGAGGTCTGGTTCTGCCTCCTCTTAGCTGTGTGACTTTGGGCAAGTTCCCTAATCTCTCTGAACTCATTTCCCAAATGGACTCAAGAAGAGTCCAGTTTAAGGTCCATTTGTTGTGAGGGAAAGGCAGAGCCCCCAGTACTATGGTTGCATGCAGTGGAGCTGTCAGAGCTGACAGGGAGGTATGGTCATGAGCTGTGAGCAGAGTCGTGGGATTTTAGAACAGGGAGAGACACATGGTCACCATCCTAACAAGTCTTCTAGCTGCCCACACAACTTTGCAGTCCGTAAAGCACTTACCATCTGTAACCCAGAGGCAGTGAGATTTCTCATTGTAGGAGCTCTTCTGTTGTGACTTGGAGCCAGGAGAACGTATGCGTTTCTTAGTTTCTTAAACTGTGATGATGGGGGCTGCCTCAGGGGGTGGTGCCCTGAGTGTCAGCACAGCCAGGCACTGCCATCTGGAGTGAGGGTGGTGGTCCCTGAAGCTGGCCAAGGGCAAGTACGGAGGCTGGGCTGCTGCTGATTGGGCCCCTCCTTCACAGATGTTCTCAGGAGGCTATGTGCACGTGCTGAAGGGTGCACTGTCGGAGGACCTCCTCATCCAGAGCTTCCAGAAGATGGGCTACATGCCCAGGGACAACCACTGCCTCATGGTGACTGCCCCGCCTCCCACCTGCCAGCTGGTGCAGGTGGCCCTGGGCTGCTTTGCCCTGCGGCTGGAGTGTGAGATTCTGAGTGAGGTGCTGGCACAGCTGGGCACAAGTGTGTTGCCAGCTGAGGAGCTACTGCAGGCGCGTCGAGCCAGCGGAGACGTGGCCTCCTGTGTGGCGTGGCTACAGCAGCGGCTGGCCCAGGAAGAGGAGCCACCACCCCTGCCCCCCCGGGGCTCCCCAGCTGTGTTCCAGGCCCAGCTGGACCTGTACCAGGACCTGCAAGAGGATGAGGGCTCAGAAGAGGCCAGCCTATATGGAGGGCCCTCCCCAGGCCCAGGCTCACCCTCCTTGGAGCCCGCCTACCGGCCTCTGCTCTGGGAGCAGAGTGCCAAACTGTGGGGTGCTGGGAGTGAGGCCTGGGAGCCCCTGGAGGAGACTGAGGTGTTGCAGCAAGCCAGCAGTCTGCCCTACGTGGCCTTGGAGGAAGAACTGGAGCCCAAGGCCTTCTCCTTCCTTTCCCTGCGCCGAGAGCTGCTGAGTCGGCCTGGGGACCTGGCTGCTTCCAAAGCCCCCAGTAGCCCTGGGCAAGCCAGCCCTCAGCGCGTGCACAGGCCCATCCCCGAGTCCCCCGCCTACCAGGCTCACAGCTGCCTGGCCCCCGGTGCCCTGCCCACCCTCTGCTGCGACACGTGTCGCCAGCTGCACACTGCCCACTGTGCTGCCCTACCAGCCTGCCGTCTGGGTCATGAGCTGCGCACGCTGTTTGGGGACACCCAGCGGCGCTTGTGGCTGCAGCATACAGAGGTGGATACCCTGCTCTACGACAGCCCCGGGGCGCGGTCTTAGGCCCAGGCAGGCCCCTGGTCAAGGGCTTCTCAGTGTTTCCGCGGTGCTGTTTTGGCCCTTGTCCCTTCTCAGGCCTAGGCCACTGCTGCCCTGGACAGAGGAAGAGTCCCGGGCTCAGTGAGAGGGCGCGGAGAGCCCAGGCTCCACAGGCAGGCGTGGGGCCTTCCCTTCCATGCAAAGTTCCTGTCTCATCCAGCCACCTCTCCCTTGACTTCAGACCCATGCCCAAACGTGCAGGGTGGGTTTAGCCTATGTGTCCATGTCAAGGCACCTAAGCCTGTCCCCATGGACCCCCACCCTCCTCTTTTATCTCCCCCTCCCCACTGTAGGGGCCCAGTGGTCAGCCTGGAGCCCTCAATCTGCTCCCTGCAGGTTGTGATTTGGGACATGTTGCCTCTTTCCAAGTGTCTGGGGTACTCCCCACACAGAAGTGTCCAGAGGGACCTGGAGACGGCACTATGAGCCTGAGTTCTGCTAGGCCCAGTCTGAGGGCTCTGCCGGATGCATGGCTGACCTGGCTGTGGAGACCTGGACCCTTGCCATGGGTGTCACAGGCCAACACTGAGTACTGGCTGGACGCTGGTCCCAAATGTCCCAGTCCAGCTGTGCAGGGAAGCTGGGTCCATGGATGGAGGAGAAATTATTTGATCTTAAACAAGAGAGAGCAGGTGCCCGAGCTCTGGAGAACAGGCAGCAGAGGGCAGGTGCTGAGGGAGCCTGGACTGGCTTTGCATCCACTTACGGGCACCAGCACCCAGGCTTCCCATGAAGCTCACCCCAGGTCCAATGGTAAAAATCTGGCTGAGCTACAAACAGCTGCTCCTGAGGCAGACTCCAAGGCCAAGGTGGGCAGGTGCAGCCCCTTTTCCAAGTCCTGGGAACCGCTAGCTCCCAGGCCTGGAGGGTGGTCTGCCTGCCACAGCTTTTGGCTGTGCAACCTCTCCTCGCCAGCACCCCACCTCCCTCCTTCCTGGCACTGGTCCTGTCATAGGACAGGATGTCAAGTACATTAAAGACACGGAACCACCTGCATCTGTCAGGAAAGCTTTCATCTCTGAGTTCCTGCAGCACCAACCCCAACAGGGCTCTTCCTCTGGGGTCTCAGAGTGGTCATGGCCCAGACCCCAGTAAACCACATCCAATCCCTCCTTCCTACAGAGTCCCACCACAGCTTCTCCCTGCCCCGGGCAGGCCTGGGTGACCGAGAGGACACAGCAACCATGAGAGGCCTGCACACCCCAAGCTGCAATATCCACTGAGGGGCCCAGTGGGCGCTTCCTGAGTTTCTAGGAGCCAAGTGGGCAGGACCCGCATGGCCACCAGAGGGCGCCATCACAGCATAGGTGGGGACAGCCTCAGGGCGCACCCACCCGCATCACCCCATATCTACACCCTGCTGTTCTGGGGCAGTGGTAGGTGGAGGCGGCAGGAATCCGTGCAGTCAGCCGAAGCAGCTGGTGAGTCTTAGCCAAGGGTCAAGATGGATCTCAGGAGCCTGTCAGCCTGGCTGGCAGGGGCCTCAGGCAGTCAGGGCCTGCAGCGCTTGCTGTGGCTCTCAGACGCGGCTGGGGCGGCCCGCTTGTTGCGGTGGTGGGGGAAGGTGGGCATGAGCTCCGGCTCACAGGCTGCGGGGAGGGGGCCGTCAGCATTGGGTGGGGGCCTAAGCCAGGCCCCTGGGGCCACCCCACACCTCCCTCCACTCCCCTATGACCTGCAGACAGTGTGTGTGGCCAGAGTGTCCAGCTGCTGCCTACACAGGGCCAACACACCACCTGGATAGGCCTAGGCTGGGAGTCCCCCACACCACACATCACGGGCTAGGGCCTTGAGGAGCTCTGTGAAGCTGTCCCAACATTCCCACCCTGGAGATAAAGGCCACTAGCCAAGAGTTCCACAGACCATGCTTGAGGGGTCTTGGGGACTCACGCAGGGGCTTCTCCTTGAAGTACGAGCTCTCCAGGCAGTCCCCAGCCGTCGCCCTGGAGGACAGTCTGCCTTCAACATGACCCTGAGGCCCATCTCCCTCACACCCTACCCAACTTGCCAGCCCCTGGTTCCAATTTCCCAAGGGTGGGTGGGAAGAAGGGGTCTGGGGCTCAGAAACTGATGGGAACCTCAGAATGGGCTCCTTGACCTGAGTGGACAAGACCACAAGACTGGGCACTTGGCCTGCTGTGCATGTGTCTGGGGAGTGGCCACCTTGGTGGCGGCATGGCCTGTGTTCTGAGAAACCCTCTTTAGAGGACTCAGGTTGAAAGTGTCATCCTGCCTGTGGGTCAGCACCTTTTCTTCGGGTCGTACATGAAGAGCAGGTTCAGTAGACGCAAGCCGGCCTCTGAGAGCCACGGGAACCTGTGCTTCAGGTTGTTGTAAGGCTGCTTCCTCAGGCTGTACTGGCTGACCAGTGGCAGCTTGGAGAAGCCCTGTGGGAGGCGGGAGCTAGAGCTGCAGGGGCAGGCCCGGCGCAGATGGGTGAGGCTGGAGGCTGGATACTTACTGGCCAGATGTTCTCACTGGGTGTCCCCAGCAGCTGTACGATCAGGTCAACCTGGTGGATCTCAGATGTGCCGGGGAGAAGGGGCTTGTGGGCCAACAGCTCAGCCAGGACACAGCCCATGGCCCTGCAGAGCAGAGGGCCTCACCTCACCACCTGTAACTGCTGCTCTGACGTGACCCTTGGAGAGCGAGCCCTGCCCTAGGTCTCCCGTGGGCCGGGGTCAGAGGACAGGAGTGCAGATCCAGAGGAAGTCACATGGAGCGGCCACATGACTGAGTCCCTGCAGGTCTCTCTGGGTGACCAGGAGGGCAGGGCTGCCTTCTGTGGACTTCAGTGCCAGGGGCCCATGAGTACGATGTTCTTACACTTCCTTTTGGGACCCAGGCTTAGGCCCACCTCCCTGGGAGCTAGGACAAAGATGCCAGCCCTGTCCCCCTTACCACATGTCAATGCTGGTGGTCTGTGTGGTGGTTCCCAGCAGCAGTTCAGGGGCTCGGTACCTGCAAACGGAAGCACCTACCTCACATCTGGCAGTCCCTGGGCTTCCAACAGGGCATAGTGAATCTGTGCGTCCCACCCACTGGCACCAGCCTTCCTGGGAGCCCAAGATGGCCTGGACAGCAGGAGTGCTGTCGCTGCCTGGACTGCCCCTTCCTGTGAAGCTCTGCCCATGTGAGCAGCATCACAGTAATACCTGCCATCATCACAGACAACATTGGGTCCTCAGCTGGGCCTACTGTGAGCCCATTTTATGGATGGGGCTGAGTGATACATGGCAGGTGGCATCTGATTCCTGTTCTCCCCTTAACCATGACCTTGACCTGCCTTGGAAATGTAGTGAGCAATTACAGTAAGCCACGTGGACCACCCCACCCTTCAGGTAGGGTAGCAACCTCCCCTTCTTGAGACAGGTCAGAGCCAGGCTGGGTGTCCTGCTGCCAGGAAGCTGCCCCAGACTCAGCCTCCCCGAGGGTGTGCAGCTCAAATACCTGCAGTGACACCCCAACACTTCCCTCCACCAGGCACGCCTGGTCCCGAGGGACTCACCACAGAGTGACCACCTTGGGTGTCATTGGTTTCACTGGGATGCCATAGGCCCGGGCCAGGCCAAAATCCGCTGTGACAGAGACAGACAGACAAGAGGGAGGATGTGTCACCCAGCAAGGGGCCAGCTCTTAGCTTTCACAGTGTTTGTAAGGACAGATCTGCCCACTCCCACCCCAGCAAGGTGGCACACATAGAGACACCTACCTCAGAGCCAGCACCTATACCTACCTGTCTTCACACAGCCCTTATCAGTCATGAGCAAGTTGGAAACCTTCAGGTCCCTGAGATAGAAAGGGAATATCAGGGGTAGTCTTGCTGTCACCATCACCGTGACACTCAGAACCCTTTCCCACACATCTCCTCCTGTTTGAACTTTTTAAAAAAAGGAGGGCAGGCAGTGTAAGGCATGTGGCAGCTGGGACCCCAGAGCTCTCAGTACCTTTCTGAGGAAGTAGCAGAGCCAAGCCTCAAGCCCACATGTAACTTCCAGTCTTGCCTGAGCTCCCCACCCAGGGCAACACAAACCCCCAGGGCACAGTCCTGCTTTGAGCTCAGAAGGTCCCTCTCTATCCCCACCATCCAAGTCTCTGCCCTTCTTGGCCTGTGTCACAAGACTCCAGGCAGGCTCTCCACTGCAGGACTTCTCAGAGCCTTGACTACACCCATACCACCAGCTCCCCAGAGTGGAAGACAGGTATTATTTGGTCCTGGGCCTTTCCTCAGGAGCATCAGGAGAACCTCTACTGCACTGAAGCTGTGTCTGCTCCTGCTCCTCTCCTGGACCCTGGGCAATGATGCACTGGAAGCAAGGGGTCAGTACTGGTGGTGACCCTTCCCCATGTCAAGAACCAGCACAAATGCCCAAGGCTGTACCCTCTTCCAGGCTGATGCCATCCCAGCACCCTGAGGCCCTGCCCCCATCCAGATCCAGCACCTCTGGTCCTCCACAGCCCCCACCTGTGGATGATGAAGTTCTGGTGTAGATACTGGAGGCCCCGGAGCACCTGCAGCACAATGCACTTGACCTGTGAAGAGGACCCAGTCAGTCAGGGCAAGCCGTTTGGCACAAATGTACTGGACAAGAGCCCATGATGTTCCTGTCAGGGCCCAGCCTCGCACCTGGGCCTCAGAGAAGGGCGTTGGCATATTCTCCAGAAGGCTGGCCAGGTCTTGCTCACAGTAACCCATCACCAGAAAGATGCTGGAAAGAAAGGGGAGACACATGCCCCTCATACCGCCTCACCAGTGGGGGCTGGGCAGGGTGGAGGGCCAGACTGCTCACCTCTCCAGGTGGTTCCCCACAACTACCTCCTTCAGCTCCACAATATTTGGATGGCGAAGGCGGAGGAGCAGTGTGATCTCACGAAGGCTGCTGATGGGGACCCCTGCAAATGGACACGCCCCAGCAAGCCCACCCCTGCAGACAGATCCCTGCACCCAGACACCTTAGCAAGCCCCCTACTATGCCCACGTCAGCCCTCAGGGACCCCACCATGCACTGTCAGGGCCCTGCCTGGTAACTCAGGGAGAATCCAGGCTGTGCCAGCAAGCACCTGAGACCCTCTTTCCTTCCTGCATCAAATGCAAGGCAGCAGCTCTGCACTGACGAGAACTGGCTCACAGTGAGCTTGGCAGAGCCCTGCCCACACCAGCCAAGGAGGTGCCGGGTGGTGAGCAGGGTGCATGGAGCACATGGGGGCTGCCTGCTAGGTCTTGGGAGAGGAAGGCCCTGTGGGGCATGAGAGCTGAGAAAGTAGATGAGGGAGACAGAGAAGGGCTGCAGCCTAGACAGTGGGGGTGACAAGCCGAAGCCCTCAGAGACCAGCCCGCATCAACCACCACAAAGACTCTCTTGGGAGGGCAGCCACACGCTCAGTATGGTCCAGTCCTAAGGGAGCCTCAGTCAACCTGTACCTTTCTGGCCCTTCCCACTTTGAGCTGGAAGTGGTCCAGCACCCCCACCCTGCTCACCATCCTTCTCCTTGTCCATCCGTACTTTCTTCAGGGCAACAATCTCGTCGGTCTGGGTGTCCCGAGCCCGATCTGGGATGCAAACTCATCTGTGATGGAATCCAACCTGCTCCCCAACTGCACACCCTTGTGCCACACAGGGCTTCTTCCTGACATCTGGGGTTCCCTTTTTCTTCTTCGACAACCAGGTGCCCAGTGACACTTGGTCCTTACCCTGTGCAACCCAACACCTGTGGCCCCACTAGACACACGCTCTTGGGGAGTCCTTGTTTGCCCTGGGTACAGGGTGCCTAGTTATAACAAGCTTCCTCTAAGTTTCCCTTTGAGTTAGTATGCAGATCACTGCTTGGTGTTCTGTTGTTACTATGTTCTAGCACCAAATCAGGTACTTTATCTAAAAAAAAAAAAGAACACTTATTTTGCACAAAGATGGCTCCTCAAAACATTGTGCTGATTTGTGAAACTTCCAAATACTTAGCAGGGGGATGCACACCAATGTTGCAGCTGCTGCAAGCTACAGCTCTGGCTGCTTTTGGGAGTTTTGCACTTTACTGCTGAAACAGTTACGGCCACTCACAGTTACACACTAGAAATCTTATGGTTATTCAGACAGGTAATCACTTGTACAGGCTTTTGCCCTGGCACCTTCCAGCCCTAACACAGCTACTGTGGGCCTTTCCTAAGCTCCTGGCCTCCCATCTCAACCACTCACAAACGATGCCGTAGGTGCCTTCCCCAATGCGGTTCAGCTTCTCAAACTCCTTCACGCTCCGGCACCGTCCCAGCTGAAAGAGATGCTGGAAGTGAGGATTTGGCAGCTAATGGAACAACTGAAGATGGATATTTCAGTTTGTACCACTTATGTCTCACTCACCAAACAGAAAGGTAACCATGCACTTGGGCTTTTCAGATGAGAAAAGGGGGATGATGATACTGGGCCAGACACTTTCAATGATAGCCTAACCACGCCCTTTCAATCCCATGGTCCAGATGTACACTGTCTAAAAAACTAACCACCAGCTAACTGTGGTTAAAAATGAAAGTTCACTTCCTAAACTGCACTAGCTACATGTGAAGTGTTCAATGGCCCCTGTGGCTCACGGTGACCATACTGGATGATTCAGAAAAGAGAAGTTTCTTCATCATCATAGAAAGTCTACTGAGCAGCACTGGTCTAAATTATGCTCTGCAGATGGCAAAAGCTTCAAGATGAAATATCTACCAAACAGAGCAGAAATGTTTCTGTGGCAGAGACGAACTGTCCCTACCATGCAGACAATACGTCTTCCCTTGAGCTATGAAACACTGCCCAATGGCACGCGGCCACACAGTTTGTGGCCATTTTCCCCAGCCGCCCTGGGAGCTAGGTATTACCATGTGAGTAAATTCTGGCCAACAAGAGACAATCTGAGTGCTTGGCCCACCCTGTGCAAAACAGCTGCCTCTCTGGAAGGTTATGGGAGAGACAAGTTAAGTCCTGTAGGTAAGCCACTCTATTTTGGGGTCTCTCTGTCCTAGGAGAGAGCTTGTATCCTAATACACTTTCATAATGTGGTACATTCACAGGTAGACTTCTCCTTGAGGCTAAGGTTATAAATGAATTCTAAAGCCCCTCTCTGGCCTCTGTCTCTATTCTCTTACTAACCCCTGCCATCCAACTCATTGCTTTCTAACACCTAGGGAGCCAAGTGGCCAGGACTGAAAAAGCCCTTCAGGATCTCACCTCACCCTCCCTTTCCCATCTAATTCCCCTTCTCACATTCTCTTCTCTGGGACTTTGCTCCTGCCACTGCCTAAGTCTGGCCTCCTAATTTCTCAGTGTCCAAATTCAAGTAGCACTTCACGGCCCAGCGAAATGCCACCCCTTCCACAATTTCTTCCTGGCCCCAAATACTTCTTTCTCTGAAATGCCGGCAGTTTTGTCCTGAAGCACCTACTAGTATTGTGCACTTTGCACTGTCCTCGTCGGGGTCCCCTCTGAGACAGGGTGCGGGGCACTCGGTGCACCGGGCAGCTACGCGCCGGCACCCGGGGCGTGCTGAGTGGTACCGCCGGCTGGCGCCCGCTCCGCCAGTCTGCTCATGATGCTTCCTGGACACACGGCCTGGCCTTTCAGAGCACCGCCAGGCAGTTAAAACACAATCCAGGCGCCAGGGTTCAGACCTGGCCCTGCACGAGCTGCCGACCTCGGTAAACTCATTCAGCGCCCCCGACCTTCACCTTCCCCGTCTCTACAAAGGGGCAGTAACGGGCCGAGGCCGCGCACGGGGCAAGGCACAGGTGGAAGCGGCGGGTCTCGGCGGCCCGGCCCGGCCCGGCCCCCTCAGCGCGCAGGGGGCGACCTCGCCCCAAAGCTTCCCGCGCGGGCGCTCCTCCGACACGAGGTGTTTCTGGGTCTGCAAAGCCAGCCCCGGGCGCAAAAACCTAAGAAACGCCCGTG